AATCCCACATAAACATTTAATGAAATGAAACCCACTGAATAAAAATGATCATGCTGTATATATCCAGCTACAGCTAACCCTTTGTCACTGATTACGTATTTGATAATTTATAAATAAAATAACAGCGACGGAAAAACATATCTAATATAGGATTCTTACTTCTTTTCCTCTTGGCTTCATTTTTTTTCTTCTTCTCCGGCCTCCCCGTGGGCAGATACTCATATGTATACAAAGGCTGGAAAGACTCAAAGAAGCCACAATTCTCATTCAAATTAGGGAAGATCCATAAATTATGCTTTCCCATCGTTACAGCCCATATGATCCAGAATAATATCGTGCGGGCTAAACTATCATAAAGAATGTATAAAATCTGAATACTGCAACAAAATTTTTTAAAACTATTATCCAATCAACCTCAACTATGAAATCTCTGTGAAATTTTTAGAAAAATAAGTGGTAAATAAGAAAGTAAAAGTATCAGTGAAAACAGAAATGGAATAAAAATAAGATATCTCACCAATAGCAACAACACCAAAAAGCCCAAAAAGACCAATACCCACTAAAGAAAGGTAATAAACAAGCTGCCGCAACCAGATTGGCCATAGGGAAAACAAACACCCAGCAATCGTACCCAAAACTAAAAAAAAAATGAATTATATTCCTACAAGCGGTAAAAAATTTTTGCTCAGAAAAGAACTGTACAATTGCTGACATGCGAAATTACAATCTAATTTGGTTTACACTTTTCTTCTGAGCAAAACATGTGGTACCTCCACCATCTTTACACGATTTCTTCCAAAAGAAGACAAGTGAATATCTTTTCAGCGTTCCTTCTGTTTTTTATTAAGTTATTGTTGTAAAAGTTCGCTCTAATAAAACTTAAAAGCTCTGCCTACAACAGCACAACATTCTAAAAAGGATCGAACGTGAAACCAGAAGTGTCACATTGCTCAGCAAATCTTTTTGTGTTCCGATCACTCAATATTCATCAGCTCCAAAATAGGTCTTAAAAAATTCATCCAAAAACCGAACTGGTTTTATTGCCGAAACACATTCGTAAAGACAAAAAACTTACTGATTAAAGCACCTATAATCTTCTTTTTCAACGGTGTAGGATCATAAAGCCAAACATATACGTCGTTGGTGTCATTAAAAGCTTGAATCTGATGTAATTCAAGTTTAATTTTTCTTTTCCTTTTCTCTTCGTCTTCCTAAATATACCTAGATTTAAAATTAGAAAACATATACTTACTACAGATACAACAACACACCTCGCCATTTCCAGTTTTTTTCTTTGCAACCAGCTTCCTAGCACGAAAAAAAAGCCCTTTTTCCAGCAGTATCTTAAGGAACGTCACAGCAGCAAGTCGATTAGCAAACTTGGCATCCTTAGCATCATGCCCGTACTTCTTTGACTCGTATAACGTATCAACAGCTTTACTACCTAAGAAGTGACAAGATAACAATACGCTACCTAAGTAAAACAAATCAAAATTCAAGAAAAAAAAAAGTAAGTTGCAAAAAGCAACATCTCAGAATTATAACCAAAGCCATGACTGTATTAACACTATCTAAAAATCGGCTGGAAAATGGTACATACTTATAACAGTAATTATAGTCGTCATTTTAAAAATTATTGAAAATCCTACTTCAGCAAGTAAAATATGCCAGTTGTAGGACAGCAAAATCAAATTGTCGGCACCGTTATCAAGTTAGACACCCAGAGAATGAATGAGCTTAAATACGCTACCGCTAGTCTTTATCAAGTACATCTCCTAATTTCGAAAAAGTTCCTAGCAAAACAGTTTTGAAAATTTGAAAGCCGTTCTCATTTTAGATTAGACCCCAAAAAAATACTGTTTGAACTTCCCTTAAAACTAGCAACCCTCACAAGATTCTCTTCTTTTGAAAACCACAAAATGGAAAAAAGCCAACTAGGGCGCTGAGAACACAGTAATTATAAAAAAGCAACTTACTATAATCTTCTCTATTTTCACATTGGCATCACCGCGAAACTGATTTCCTAGCCCTAATAACAACATACGCTGAATCCCCCATGCCCGTAAAACTGCTTTACCCAAGCATAATTTTTATTATTTATCCCTCATATTTTATTGATTCCTTTATTCCTCATAGCTCAACAACTGATTATCACTCAAAGTTCACATTGAAAAATAAAATTAAAAACTCTACAGAGCAGCCGTATCCTTGAGCGAAACACAGAACACAACACTATTTTTCACTCATTCCAGTGGAAGTTCCACAATATTGTCCCATCAATCCCAAAGAAAAAACTAATCAAATAGC